GATGAGAGCTGATGATCTCAACCTGAGGTATCACAATCATTGCGCTAGTGTCCAATACTGGAATCAAAAAGGAGGTGCAAGATCTCCTTGGCCGAAGCTGATGCCCATCCATTTCCTTTGTTTGAGTGGCTCTTGGCAACTCTGGATACAATTCATTCAGGTCATGCATGATGACTCTAAAGGTTTCAAATTGGAAAAATAAGGAGGTTAAAATTGGTTAAAATTAAAATTGCCAACTTTAATTTTAACCAGTTTATGTATTACTTTGAAAGGCAGGATAGGTTAAAATTAAAATTGGCAATTTTAATTTTAACCAATTTTAACCTCCAATAAAAATTACTTTGGATCCAAAATAGAAACCATTGGATTTGGAACTGGAGATTCATAGACATCCCAACTTACTTCATCATTACACTTTTCAGTATTCAATGAAAGGTTCAATGGAACCTCCAAAGGAACTGCCTCCATGGAGGAAGCAACCACTGGCCACCATTGAGAAGAACCCTGTGGACCCAATGGACAAGCAGATCGCAATGATCAAATGTATGCCAGCAAAGAAGCTTTTGAAGCACTATGAGTACCTGAGAACATCTGAGACTTGTAAGCACATTATTCATGGATGAAATTCATAGTTTCTGTTCATAAAGCTGGCTTGATGAGAAAAGAATTACATAGATCCCTGAACCTGTGGCCCAACCCAGGAATGCGCAACTACAAAGTATTTGGCACTTTACCTCAGGCAGTGCTTGTTCAAGAGAGGTGTGAAGACTGAGCCTCTGGTACCTAGAAAAGAAACAAGTGGCAAAGACCAGAGCCAAAGTAAATAGAAGCCAATTAATTACCGCAAGATAATTAGTGTGGGAAAATGCCTGTGGACTTGTGGCTGGGCAGGGGGGGTTGTGAAGACATATGATATTTAAGGAGAACAGAGTCCTCCTTTATTTCCAAGGAGGTATTTCAACCTCCTTATAGATGAGATCCTATGGTGTGGCAATCAATTGCGAGCTTGTGCTGCTTGGTGCATTCTCAATTTTGTAGCTTGTCTTTTTGAGCCAAGTACTTGAATATATATATATATACACACACATACATACATATACATATATGTATATACACACATGTATGTGACACACACACACATATATATACATATATATAGATAGATTTTTTCAATATCATCATCTTCCCTTCTCTCTTGCTTTTTCTGGCTTCCTTGGTCCTGGGCATGCTACTGTCTTGGCTGATTCGTTTTCAGAAGCTAAAGACTTGCAGGAACTGATCAGCTGAGACATTTCTTCATTGCAGCCACTACAAGGATCACAGTAGACAGCTCCCAAGCTCCAGCTTCTGCAAACATGGGCAGGAATGCTGAGCCTAAGCCTGCTCCCAAGGCCACAGTCAAGAAGGAGAAGGCCAATGTGGATCAGAAAGACCAAGCCAACTTTGGAAATTCCTTGAAGAAGTCGAACTCAGAGGAAGCCCATCAAGTCTTGCAGCTCTACCAGTCCTTGCCTCGTTTCTCACAGCAGAAGAAGGATTTGATCCAAGCTTGGAAGGCTGACAAGACTTGCAAGTGGATCAGCACTTGGAACAAGTCTTTGGAGAATGAAAAGAAAGAAACTGTCAATGAAAGAGCTGGTTTTGGAACTAGATTCCAAGTGGCCGCCATGCTCGAAATGACAGCTGATTCTGACGAGTTTCTTGCTGTTGAAAAGCACTTGGCCAAGCAAAAAGACATGGTAGACTTGAATTGGGATGAGACGAACCCTTTGGAAGCGAGCTACAAGGCTTCCAAGCTCCAGCGATGGAATTTGGGCTTGCTGAAGAGCACATGGTCTGCTGTGAGCCAAAGCTAAGCAGCCAAGGATAACTTGACAATGTCTTCCAGTGGCTCTGAAGTGCTGCAGATCTCAGGCAAGGCTTTGGATGACAAGGGGGTCAGTAAGCCTTTGAAGGAGTTTCAGAATGTGTGCAACAGTCTGAATTCCTGCAAGAATGCCTGGGAGAAGGAGCTTGCCAAGGCCCAGGACCTGGCCTGTCGTTTGGAAATCAAAGGTGACCCAAGCTTCCATGCCAAAGGCAAAGGTCTTCAGACTTGGTGTCAAGAGCAGTTGAAAGCCATTGCGAACCTTCGATCCTATGTCGCAGCCAGTGAAGATCTTGCTCCTGAGGACACTTCTCCTGAAAGCCTTTCGAAATCATTGCCTGCTGCCAAAGCATGGCTTGCTTCCAGCCAAGAGAAGCTGCAAGAAGCAAAAGCCAAGGTGAAAACTCACCAGGCATTGCTGTAGGAGCTGTTTGGCCCTTAGATTTTGGAAAGCGCATTTGGTGCAGTTGTCAGTTTTGGAATGTGGAAATGTAGATTAAAATATCGCAGGGATCTGCTTGGAAGATGCGCAACTGGTAACTGCCGCTGGAAAAAGAGCCTGCTTCTAAGCTGGTGTACAAGACTCAAGGAGGTGTAAGATCTCCTTTACTGTTTCCCTGTTTCAAAGCATTGGCCAAATTTAGCATTAACTAAATACAATGTGTAACTTCTTGTCTTCTGAGGTCTTTTATGTTGACATGTTTTTTCCAGCTCAAGCCATGTTTCACAAGAGAAAGGTAGATTTGTCTACCCTTAGGAAACCTGACCAGAATAGCTTTCGACACAGTGTTTCCAATTTGTTTTTGACCAAGACTGTCTCTGCTAGAAGAGCCAATGAGCTCATGAAAGATGCACAAATAGCTGGAGCCACTGGTGTGAAAGATTTGGTCAAAGGTGCAGAGAAATCTGGCAGTGGTGAGAAGCAAGCCACTTGGGAAAAGAATTTGGCAAGGGATATGAAAAGAAACATGTTGAAGAATTGCCTGTGGTTCAATGAATACATTGCATTGATCCCTTGCTACAATCCTGGAACACAAGCAGAAGAGATGAAGAAGATACCTTTTCTTTTGCCACATGAGATTCTTTTTGTCTTCTCGAAGCGCTCTGAGAAGAAAGACTTGCTGCAGACTGGTGGCATGTGTGAACTCAGCAAGAAACATTTGGCGAACATGCAAATGCAGTTCCAAGTTCGAGAAGCCATAGGACTTGGCCTTTGGATCGATGGCACACCTTACAATTATGACAGAAGTCAAACTTTGGAATGCATCTCATTGAATTTTCCTGGCTTACTTCCACCTAATGGTACTTTGCGAATCCCTTTGTGCTGTATTCCAAAGCACTGGTGCATCAAGGGAGTAACTTTGTCGAAGATGTTAGGAATTTTGTCTTGGTCTTTTATTCACTTAGCCAATTGCACTTGGCCTTCAGCAAGGCATGATGGCAGCTTTTGGCACCCAGGCGACAAAAAACGAAGCACATTCAACGGCAAGGCATTGCCTTTCACTGCTTTTTTACTTGAAGTGAGAGGTGATTGGGCTATGAGAAAAGAAGTTTTCCAATTTCCTGGATGGCGAGACAAACAAGGATGCTGCCATTTGTGCTTGTGCAAACCAATTGAAATTCGAAACTTTGAAAGCTGCAAGGCATTTGATCCTTTGGACCATTTCACTTTGTTGCAATCCATTTCCAATTCTGGCATTGACATCAATGAATTGTTTCAAACACCAGGACTGACAAGCAAACAATTTCTTTTGGACTGGCTTCACATTGTGGACTTGGGCGTGGCAGCAGATTTTATGGGCAATGTTTTTCACCATTTAATTGCCTCTGGAAATCACTTGCCTGGCAACAATGTCAAAGAAAGGGTGAAAAGCTTGTTCCACAGAATTCAAAGCTACTACAAGACTGAAGGTGTGGAAAACAGGCTTCCTACTTTGACAGTCCTCATGATCAGAAAGAAAGCCAGTTCAAGTCCAAAACTTCGAGCCAAAGCTGCAGAAGCTCGAGGGTTGATTACTTTTGCAAAACAAATCTGCGATGAATTTTTGGATGATGACAATGTGCTTGAATATACAATCAAGATGGCTGCCACAGAACTGTGGCAATGTTATTCTTTCTTGTCCAAGAATCTATGGAATCACCGGTCAATGCTGCTGCATGGCAGAAAGTTTTTGCTGTTGTGCAAGAGCTTGGAAAACGAGACTGACCATACTTGGAAGATCAAATCAAAGCACCACAGCTTCTTAGATTTATTGCTCCAGAACTCTTGTCCATCAGACAGTTGGACATATCGAGACGAAGACTTTGGTGGCGTCCTAGCTCACTTAGGAGCTGTGAAAGGCGGAAGCCACAACCCTTATTCCATAGGCATGAGTGTTCTGCAAAGTTTTCGAGCACAAGTGATTCCAGAGCTGAAGTGAAAAGTTTTGCTGCCAGGATCTGGGATAAGGAGGTTTCAAGTCTCCTGCTGAAGGAGGTGCAAGATCTCCTTGCAATTGAAAATTTAAGGAGGAATTTTAAGGAGGAATTTTTGAAAAAATCCACCTTAATTTAAGGAGGAATTTTAAGGAGGAATTCCTTAAATAAGGAGGAATGGAAGTTCTGGGCAGCGTCGAACGAAAACAGCTCCACCCCCAGACCCCCAAAGTAAAACGAGAACCCTTCGCCATGCATTCGGGAAAATACCTCTATTAAGCTCATCTCTGTAAAATCACCTCCGTCAAGCTTACATATTTCAAACTTATCTTCAACATCCATCTGTCAAACTTATCTCTACCGAGCTTATCTCCATCAGAGTTCTCCACTTACCAGTATCAAACTTATTTCCACCAAACTCAACTCTTCTGTATCAAACTTACGTCTCCCAGAACGAACTAACTCTATCAACTTTTCTGTACCCCTCTACCAAATTAACATGTACCTCTATTGAACTTCTTTCTGTCAAACGAATTTCCATCATCCTTTTTTATCTCTCTCAGACTTATCTCGTTCAAACGTGTCGCTATCAAACGTATCTCTTTTACTTGTATCAAACTTGCATTTGCCGAACTTCTCTCCCACTAAACTTCTCTCGTCCAAGCTTAAATTCATTACTTTACCAAATACCTTAAACTTTACTCTGTCCGGCTTTTTTCGTCCAACTGTTCGATATCAAACCTGCCGCTACCGAACTTCTCTCCATCCAGCTTGTCGGCCATCTGTTTTCTGTCATATCCAGCTGAGTCCAGCTGTGTCTTGTTTTCTTTAATCACAACCCATGCCTGTACCCAACCCCGTTCTGACCTCACCGGAAGCTTCATATGGGTTCTCCGATCCTCCCAATGTGGGACAAACCCGATTCAAGCGTCAGCACATGCCGCTAGGTAGACCATCTTCGGTACTACCTGGGGCCTGGACAAACCCAATTCAAACCTGCCAGTTACAAAGAAGCATCTGCAAGGTCCCAAGGCTTCAGATTTCTGCTCTACCTGGACCTTTCGCCTGGCTTGAAAGCGTGGACGGGCAGATGGCCAAAAAAATTAAAAATCTCCCAAATGTCTGCCCAGTCAGGATTAATTTTAAGCACTTCTCCTGGGAGGGCGCCGTGGGATCAAAATTGACGGCGTCAAAATGCCATGCCGCCTGACTGCGGCTTGGACAAAACTACTGTGATCAGCCGGTAATCACAAGGGTTGCCTGTACGATGAGGCCCGGGTGATCCTCAACCTCGCACTCAGCAGCATTTTGATTTGCTGCGAATTGTCGGGTCGTCGGCCTGTCTCCTGAAGCAGATCTGGATGCGTTTATGAAGGAACCTGTTAATCAACAGAAGCGCTGTGTATCAAACACGTGGGTGAGCTGGTTGGGGGATAGCTGGGAGAGAAATTCTACTCTTGAGACATGTTTCTCAGGATCCAGTTGCGACAAATAGTCAGGGCCATCTGCACCCCTCTCGTAATCAAAGTTGGCAACAGGACACCACTCTCGAACCAAGGGGAATCTTAGATGTTTGGTCACCTGCAGCCAAAGCTCAAAAATCATAAAATCAAATCATCTTCCGACCTGGCCGTGCCTGAAAATGAGGTAAACCCCAAAGAACCATTAAGACATGGGAAAGATCATGATAAACCCACCGGATTTTGGCCCCCATGATTTTCTGACAAGGCCACCTACTTTTTGGGCTCCAGGGTCTGATTTTCAGAGGGTCCGTGCACAAAAAAGATGTTATGCATAGTTATGCGTTGTTTTCCGGGGGGAGCCATGAGGGCATCATTTGCACAAAATGTCCAGAATAGAAAGGTCATGTTCTTGAACGCCCAGAGAAGTATAGAGGTCAACACACCCCAAATGCAAAGGCCAAGAGCGCTATCTGATGAAACCAAAGGGCCGAATGCACCGGGAAACAACAGCAATTTGTGACAACTATACTATACCATGACATCGAAGGGACACTGTCTGAAGTGAAGAAGACACGAATGAAATTACGGAATGGATGACAGGGTCTCGCCCCAAAACCACAGTCTTACCTCGGAGCTTTCCAAACCATCTGCCATGTCCTTGATGCGAGCCATGTCTTTCGCAATCACCATCTGCAAAGCAGTTCGCCCGTGAGAGCTTTTCTGCATTGGGTCGGCACCCCTGGGTGCAACTCTCAATGGCAAATATAATTTCTATGGGGCCAGCATTGGTTTGGGAATTGTTTCCCTTTGTTTTTTATTATTTCCCGTTCTTGCCGTTTTCCATGCTATTTGCAGCATTTTGGAGGTGAAAACTGTCACTTGGACAGTTTGTGCAGAAATGGTTTTCAGTAGTTTAAGGCTTGTTTAGGGTTTAGTTCGGGTTGGTTTAGAATTTGTTTGGGTTTGGTTTAAGGTCTATCTAGGATTGGTTTGGGATATATTCAGGGTTGGCTCAGGGTTTACTATGGGTTGGTCTAAGGTTTATTTACGATTAGTTTAGGGTTGGTTGAATGTATATTTTGCGGTTGGTAGAAGATTTATTTAGGGTTTGGTTCGAATCTATTTCGGGTCGATTTAAGACCTATTTAGGCTTTATTTGGGGGGAAGTGTCAGATTCATTTAGGGTTCGTTTAGGGTTGCTTTACTTTTTTTGGGGGGTTGGTCTTTCGAGTTTATTTAGGGTTGAATTATATAGGTTTTCCTTATATATATAGTCTTTTTTGGGTTTCAAAAAGCAGAGAAACGGAGAAGCAAAGAAGCGGGGAAAAGCAGAAAAACACAGAAACCGATAGGCAGGGCAACAGAATTCCCAAAAAATAATTCCGAAACGAACCGACACCGAAAAACAAATACCCGGCAAAACAGCCCTGAACCATCTGCCCACCAGTTGGTATGATGCTGCATGGCTACTTCTCAGTGGTTCCAACACGTTTCCACCCACTCCAACAGTACGCGCGTCGACTGTGATCATCCCTTTCCTAGAAATGCAACTGCAGAACTCTGAGCGGAACCGACAGGCATTGATGGTCTAAAATGCCAATCGCTTCACAGCTAAAGCTTCCAAACATGGGGGAAGAAACCCTGTTTTATGGGCATTTGATGGGGTGACTGATGATAAACCACGGATGGAACGGTAAAAGGATCACTTTGGAACACACTCTCAGGCATCACTTTAGAACACAGCCATTTTGCATC